AATGGCAGGGGTATCTTGTACACTTAGTTTTTTGCCTTACCGTTCGCTGTATTATCTTTGTAGGGGACGGGATCGCGGGTTACCTTTGAAGTACGACTCAAGCCAAGGACTTTTCACCCAGAGATAGCGATACTTAAAGAATCAGGCTTTTAAAGGCTTTAAAACGTGTGTGCAGAGAGAACATCCTAGCGCTAGGGAATCACATACATGGCGCAAGGACGCAGCTCGTCTACTTTTAGATGGTTCTTAATTAAATTTTACTTCGCAACAATTGTGTGATATTTTCTCCCGTTTTGTGTTGTTTATGTTCAGAGGGTCAGTATCGTTATCATTACCGTTTAACCCCTGAGCTGACCAGCTTCTAATTTCTCTCTCGCTGTTGGAACTGTCCGAAATCGTACGAGACCCTGGAAAATCAGATTGGACATTTCGAAATCAGACTGACCTGTGTTTACTTACACCTCTATTTTCTTACCTCAGTCTGTAATAAAAGGGACCTTGAGGACGAGAAAATCAATCAGCTGATCCTCTCTTGCCGTGTCATGTCTTCTCCAGAATGGAAGACTGAATAATATACTAAACAAATTTCAGACAATCCATTGCAATTACATCCAGTCGTAGCATTTTCGTATCACGCTTCCTTCTTTAGGTTCCATCCTTACCGAAAGACTGTTTGAACAACACTGTTTGCCACCCTCGGAATGTTCTCGTAAACCGTCTCCAGTATTCATTTTCGCGGTCTTATTTAGTGCAGCCCCTACCATATCCCTTGAAAATTTTGGATTTCTTTTGCAAAATGTTTTTCCACCTTTCACCCAACCCTTGCTTTTTAAGGGTGAGGAATAACAAGTATTATATATATATCTTATTAGACGTTTTGTTGTGTAGTATCGCTGAGTATTTTTACGAGTTGTGTCGTATTTTGACGAGCCTGTAGGACGAGCCTGTAGGACGAGTCAAAATACAAATAACGAGTAAAAATACTCAGCGATACTACACAACAAAACGTCTAATAAATTATTTATTATCCAACACGCCAAACTGTTGTTTTTGCGGGCGAATTTCACGGATATTTATTTACAAGAGTGCGTGACAGAAGTATGCGAAGCGGAACGGAATTGGCGCGTTGTTGTGTTACAGTTTCTATTTTCTTCTTTGAATGAAGAAATTTTCTGGTCGTCAAGCTGTTTTTCTTCGTTCGATTCGTCAAATGAACTTGGATCTATATTTGCCAGCCATTCTGACTCTTCGTCGTCGGAAATATGATTGAAATTGTCCGCCACTTTTTTTTTTCGTAAGTACAATCCAATTCTTCGCTTGTGCGATGCGAGAAAACCAGTTTAACCGGTACCACAACAGACGAGTACAAATGCCGCGTGATATTTGTACTCGTCTATGGCGTTATTCGTACTCGCCTAGGTGCAGTTGGATAATAAGTTAAAATATTGCTCATGGCAAAACGAAATTACTCAGAGCAAAAAGAAATTACTCGTGGCGAAGAGAAATTTCTCACTGCGAAAAGAAATTACTCACGGCGAAAAGAAATTGCCAAAAGAGGTTATTGCGTGTAAAATTTGAACCTCAGCTATTGCCATAGTTTGAACTCCCTATTAAAGGCTTACAATAAAATATTTTCCCTAAATCAGTTTTGTGTAAGTGGTCCTAACGGGTTAGAGCTGTGAAAAGTCATTTTCTGTTCAGGGAGATTGGAAAGTTTGGGGGCGACTGTGCTAAGATTTATATCTTGTGTGTGGATGTGTGTTTGTCTGCCAACTTCAGCTGATAGAAGGAAAATTTATTTTTAGCCACATAACAGGAACAAAACTTGCAGTAGAGAGAAGTAAACAGGAGACACGTGAATGAAAGCAGATTATAACGCCCAAGTCATCCGTTCATAAGACATCTCTTTTAAAGAGGATTAGAAGCTACTGAAAGGTCCATTGTTCGACATTCTTTCACACACTATGGTCTGGCTTAATTGGTTGTTAAATTTAATGTGTTTCTTTATCAGAGCCTGGTTCGTTTGTTTCCGCAAGGACCACGTAGTTTAGTTGTTTACAACTTACGTCTTGCTGTCAATCATACTGTGTGACAAAGGCATGTACAAAAACAAACCCGCAGCCTTCCAAACATGCATAAATTATGCAAGTGTTTGTAAGTGAATGCACAGCTGAGTGTATAGCAAACTCGTTTATCATGCTGAAGTTATTGCTTATTTTGAAATTTTAACCACCTCATTTACTTATGGCATCGTCGAAGCTTCCCGTTACTATTGAACTGTTGCTACAGAATGGCTGAAAGAGGTTTGACTCCAAGCGCTTTCGCGTTGCCTGGTTTATCGAAGGACTCGAAAAAGCCGTTTGGATTTTCTGGGGTAAGAGAAGATTATGGCTCTCGATCCGTTGCTAATGAGACTCGAGTAAGGGCGAAAGACGACTTGGAGGAGTCTTCAAGTTTAGTTGATGAGTTAGGAACCCTTTTACCACCACTGACAGAATACACGCTCGAAAATTTAACAAAATCAAGGCCTCGCAGTCCAAGACGAAGATCACCCTCACCCTTGGCGCGAAGAAAAGAACTCGAAAACAATTCCAACTTTTCTTTTGATATTAAGAGTCCTCAAACCTTGATCAAAGACCATGAGGACTTCTCAGCTGAGCGTGTAAACGTGTTGAAGGAAAGACCAAACTTTCCACCATCGCTCATTCTCTCTAACGATGTAGGATTATCGGTTTCAAGTAGGGAACTCTCTCAATCAAGATCTTCACCGCGACTAAGTGATAAACCTCGAACAAATCGTCCCGAAGCGGCTCCGAAATCTGAAAGAAATAAAAATTTCGAAAATGGAGAACTCTTGACGGAAAGAACCGATCTTAACGTAGTCAGTGTTATAAATGACCCCAAAATCCGGTTTGTGAATGAGGATCGCCACAGAAGTGACAATGATCCACCTCCTCTTCCTACATCACCTCCGCCGCTGGACGACGGAGAGGACGGCGAGATTTTGGGTTCTTTAGCAAACGACACACTGAATACTGAATCAAAGCGATCAACTCAAGTAGGTGGATTTGAAAAAATACAGCCAATTGACAGAAGAACTGGTAAATTGTCAGCAAAGGTGGCGGATAATCCCCTTAAAAATGAAATTGAAGCAAATGTGTTGAGTAAAACTAAGCAGTTAAGATTTGATACAGCCAGCAATAATAGCAGTCCTTCTTCAAGGATAGCAAAATGGCAGGGGTATGGACGGACATCTTCTGAAGATAGTTATGTATCAGTTTTACCAAAGATTGGAGCTGGTTTTCCAGACAGACAGACTTCTGTAGATTCTGCAATTGCTTCTCGACTGTCCAAATATGAGACACCCTACAGTTCCAGACAGCGAAAACCTGTTGAAAAGACCTTGTCAGCAAACCGTCGACGATTCAAACCAGTCACATTAACAGACGAGGATGAGACAACAAATTCTGAGAAGAGTATAGAAAATATTGACTCTTTAGTTGATGCAGAAAAAAAACCCAATCAGAAAATGTTGGAGGGTTTGCATGGTATACAAACTGGAAAGAACACCACTAATTCTTTTCCAAGGGATTTCAGTGAAGGAATTAGTGTTATAAGCCAGCCTATGAGTATGTCTGGGAGTAAAATGCAATATAGTTTTCAAGATAAAAGTTTTGCATCAGGAGAGAAAGCAAAATCAGATCTTGATGGCTCAGAGAAGCAATCAGTTACTGATAAAAATACTTACAACAAGAAATCTAGCCCGAAATCGTGGTCATCTGACATGTACGGTTCAAGCAAGACTGCACATCAAGAACCTGATGTGGTTGTTGAATATGATGGTGTTAAGGATAGCCTTGAAAAGTTTGATGACAGCAGTGGAAATAGAACAGTGATATCTGTGGGATCAGAAATTAGAACTTCAAACACAAATGATCCTGATGAATTTAAAAGTAAAAGCAATATCAATGAGAATGAATTGAATAGGAGTGCTGATAATGACAAAAATAAAACAACAAAACAACATGGTAGTTCAGGAATGACACTTCCAAAAGTTGTCATTGAATACGATGGTGAAGTAGTCAGTGAGCCTTTGATTGATGGATACGACACAGAAGAAACTTCTGATGATGGTAAAAAACTGATGTCATCTTCCTTTGGTCAACTGGAGGACTTAGATGATGTACATTATTTAGATAACATGTCTGATGGTTCTGTTAGTCTTTATGCTGATGAAGATGACATAGGAATTTTGGATTATACTGATGATGAAGATGAAGTATATGCAGATATGACATTGGGGAATGAAAACCTCACTTTGGAGGATCCTGTGGGGGAAGAAGCAGAGGAAACTAGAGGTTTGTGATATCTTTTATCCAGTAGTTTAGAAGTCTTTTGAGAATATGCTTCCACTGTAAACTTTTTGTTTATGGCAAGGAATTGCTGTTTGTGCTAAGTTTGTGAAAAAACTGGAACAATTTGTATGTCAGTGTTTCATTGTTTTATTGTTAGCATAACTTTAATTTTCCTTTGTCATATACCCATTTCCAGATAATGATAAATGATCAATACAATAATTTCACCTCTATATTGTTAGAGAATAAAAAAAGGCAAATGAGGAATTAAACCAAGGATGAACCATACACACTTTCATGTCGTTTATCAGGTGCACTTCAATCACTAATTTACTTGAAATCTCCATTTGGAGAGATAAGAAATAACACCTGTATGTAATCAGTTAATTTAGTTTTAGGTAATTCTGTTACTCCTGCATTTCTGACATAACAAAATCCTTAAAGGCACAAGATAGGTAGTAGAAGGTCATTATATTTGGGAATGGGATTGTTTGGACTGGACTTATTTGCCTTTGTCTACAGGTACATGTAACTCATACTGTTCCCCTGTGTAACCCCTGGGCAGCTACTGATGGCAGTGAAGTTAAACATCACTGGACATGTGATTTTATTGTTTAGCTGTGTGAATTCGAGCTGATAAAATAATGAAAAAACCATGAATCAAACTTATTGACCAATCTTGAAAGTGAATTCAGTATAGGTAATTGTGTGGGGCCGAGTAAAATTAAGGATTAATATCACGCGTGTTTTTGGAAGTTGCTGCAACTTCCGAAAACACAAGTGATATTAATCCTTAATTTTACAAGGAACCATGTGATTACTTGTTTATAATACAAGGGGCAAAATGTTTTCTTACTGATCTCGCGCAAAACGGGACGCCATTGTTACAAAACAAACAGAAATTTCTTTACCTTGGCAGCCGTTACTAAGCGATTTTCAGCCAATCATTTTCAAGTAATTTTGCCCGGGGCAAGTACAAAAATTAAGAAAAAATGCCCTCTGTCTTGACCAATCACAATTCAGTAATTTTGCCCCTTATAGGGAAAATATAATGCAAAAATCTAGAAGAGAAATCACACACATGATTTTTAGAAAAATCAGATTTTTTCTTGTTTTGGGTAAGGAAATAATTCAAGCCAGGATCTTGGATGGCTTTAAGAAAACAAACTCTTAGTTTTATTGAACACTTTGAGCCAACCAAGAATAACAAAATGCATGTCAAAATCTTTTCTTATGTTATCTACGTCCAACCACAATCTAGCGGCTTTAAATGGCTACGAGATAATAGGAAATTATTTTTAATTGTCTAACCCTTTTTATGGGAAAATTTGATCGCTGAACATTTTGAGACTTGTCATAATATTTTTCAAAGAGTGCCTCAAAATACAGACTAGTGTCTAAAAGAGTTTTGGAATTTTGGATTAGAAATACCTATCTACCTTCTACTGTGAATTTATAGACTGAGCTTTTTAGTCATCTTACCAATGGACTTCTGTGTAGCCTTCAACTTTTTTCCTTACTGTAGTTGTCATTGTTGCTGTTGTTTTTTTTTTTAAGCTTCACTCCCATTAACCTGTTGGCCTTGCAACTACTTGAACATTTTACAAAATTTTCCGTGACACAAGATGAGAGACTTTTTGTCAGATCATCATTGTACAGTGTTGGTGGATATTTGTGTTGGATGAGCTTCAATATCATGATTGACCTCAGTCAATGTGGCTATAGTTTAATTTTAGCCATGAGACACGAAAAGAATATTCTTTATTCATGAGCTTCAAATATACTTGCCTTGCAAGTTAATTGATTGATATTGAGTTATTTTTGTGATTTTAATTTGCATTGAACTGATATTGACTTTGTTACGATATTGGCTCAGTATCATAAAAGTGCTTGTTAAGTTACCAAGGCACAGACAGTCAAGACAGATGAAGACGTGAAGCAGTTCATTTTTCAGTTCAATGAATATTCTTATGATGGTTAAAATTGATTTCAAAGAGTTTTTTAAGTTCCCTGAACCTTGGAATTAATTTGGATTGTTGCAAGCTTTAATTTTTTCTAGGGAATTCTAGGCAGATAAGATTTAAAATATTGACTTGTAATAAACCACATGTTCCACTCCCTCAAGTTTTTTTTCACCATATTTGTAAATTATAGGATTTAGTTCCTTTTCAAAGACGCCCTGCTCTTGATGGCACAATATGTTTTTCCTTTAAATTCAATGAACTGCTAGGAAAACTGTAGAAGAAGAACACACTGATTTTTGACAGTCATGTTTATGTTAGAGGTTGTTCAAAGACCCATGCAGTTTGTCATAGAGGTAGATGTTGGTGGTAAGTAGCTATTGACCACAAGTACAGGCGATTGAGTATTCAATACTGCCCATAGCTCTCTATCTGTTGAATTGAATTTTGATCATTTCTTTTATGTTCAAGTTGTTTTATGTGAAGCTAATCGATGAACAAAGGTTGAATTATTGGTTAGGTACACAATTACACAACTGCAGGCAATTAATCATCTTTTTTTATTAGCACGTTGAAAAGTGAAACTTACACCCCTGTATTGCTTATGATTCATCATTTCACTGACTCCTTCCTGTGGGAAAGCACTCTCTAAGTAAATATCAGTGTGTGAAACTCGTCAAGGATTCATGAGCAAATTCTAGTCATTTTTTACGGATAACTTGTTTGTGTCAAACATTTTGGGATGAAAAAATGGACCCTTTAGAAGGTTTGTAAAAGTTGAACTCATACTGATGATACAGAGGTGTAGAAAATGTGGGGAATTTAGGCCTCTCTGCATCAACATGAATTCAAAATATTTCATGAAAGTGTTCAAAATGTTTGAAATGTTTGCCTTGCCTTTTTATACAAAGAGCTATTTCTTTTGGGTGAGTACATTCTTTCTGTTAAAAGAATTCTACTGATAACCTGTTCATCAATTCTTCTGAACACTGTTAACTTTTGTATTTTTTATCTTTTAAAAATGGATGAAGGATTGTGTGTGGTCTTTGAATTGAAGCTCTTCGAAGAGCTATATTATGGTATTTCAGTGCAACAGTTTTTGCGCAAGATAGTGTTTGTGGTTAGTTTCAGTTTTGTGACTCGCTTTAAGAGGATTTATAAGTGTAAATATTGCATTTAGTCCTAACTAAGGCGCATGTTGGTTTGTGGTATGTTTATTTCTGAAAATCTGTTGTGTCTGTTGAAAAGCTTGGAAGTTTGTCAATAGAAAGGCAAACTGAATCATGTCTACATAAAGAAAATTTACAATTAACTAGTTATTTTTATGGTAAAAGATAACTTTGCACACCGTCTTTTGGTCTCCTTGTATACTTGAACACATATATCGCTGGTAGTAGAATGTCTATGTTCAGGATTCTTAAATATATTACTGTAACATTATCTGACATTGTGATGGAATGTGATGCTGAAATGTTCTTGAACATGCATTTTTATAAGTATATGTAACTATTCATATAAATTCTGCTGTAAAATGACTTTCAAAAACTTTTTTCAAAGTATCATTCGCCACAGTCAGAACAAACTCTCTGATGGTTTTTGAAAGAGTTAGTTATAGGAAGTTTATCTCAAAAAATGTTGGGCTAAGCTTTTCTGTCAAGTATCTAGACTTGGGTTGTTGTAAAATTGTCATTAATCTAATGGAATTGCATAGAAAGTTGCATGTGTATGTTAAGATGTTTTTGGAATATGGTCATGCATTTTAAGTTTGGATCATTAGTATCAGCCATCTATACATCTATGCCAAGGGTTTTAGGAAATGGTTTGCAATTATTAAATTTTTTACAGCTGTTTCTCTGTAGTGTCTTGTTTGACTGATTTCATTGCTGCATGGACATTATTTCACGTAAAAGAAAATTACATGTGGTATCATTATCTACTTTAATTACAACTTTTATTGTGATAGTTGCTTTAAACGTGTGAATTTATGTGTTTTACTGATATGGCTTTTACTCTCAAGTACTCAGAGGCTCTGAACTGAATGATGACGGTCTGATGGATCCACCATTGCAAATCATGACAGAGACATCTGAGTCAGAAGAGAGCGATGAAATTTTGTTTGAGCCTCCTCCAATGTTTGCCAGGTAGTTTACCTATGTATGTGACATGTGTTTTTTCATTAAATATCCCTTCTCTTTAGGATCACCTCACAATTTTCAACTCCTGGAGTAGCTAGAATCCCCTTTGAAATTGTAAAGAAATAAGAGCTGTGAATTGAAAGAAATTTATTTGTTTATTTTTACAAATTGTTAAGCACTTTCATTGTTAAAAGAAAAAACAATAATTATACCTGAAGAAAGGAACATTTGATAAAATTCAGACAAGACTCTGAGATGTTGTTGCACTGGTTGTTATAGCTGTTAAAGTTGAAAAAACAAAACAAAGCAAAACAAACAAACAAACAAACATTTGATTTAAACAGCGAAGAAAGCTGAAGCCAATTGACGTGTAAGTCTTGCCCACGGTGGATAAAGATTATAATCAAATGCATCACCATTGTAAATCACCATATTGTTTGTCATGATTGTTTTAGCTCTGATGAGGTAGAGATAAGAGAAGAATTAGAGGAATCAGGTGTGCTAGAGAATGGTTATGAGGGCAACTTACCATCCCCAGTCATTCCTTCCTCTCTGTTAGAGACACAGGTAAGAGGAAAAGAAGAGTGTTGGGTGTTTTGTTGTGGTCCAAAAATGAGACACAGGGGGAAATTGTTGCTGCATCTTAAGTCACTTAGGGTTTTTATTCCATGCATCTTTAGTCTTCAGTTTCTGGCCCAGAAATTATGTCATGTTTGTGAGTAAGACAATTCCTCCATTTTTAATGGAGAAAACCTATAAAGAACTTGAATCACGAGCCCAATCACCGGAATTAGTGCAAGCTGTGATGAGAGAAACTGTTGAGACTTTGTGTTAAACACTTTCAGAGGATTAAGGACCAATAGGTAATTTGTTCATATGATATCAGCACAATGTTAACAAGAAAGGCGATGAGAAGGAAGAGAAATACCAGCAAGGCGATTTTGTTTGATTTAAAACCAAAATTTTCAGAACAAGACTAGTGAGAGGTGAATGATAGAATGTACAGAAAAGACAGTTAGATCTTAGAATTAAAAGGTCGACCCATTCACATGAGCCTGTAATGATTTAAAAATTGCAAACAGTAGTGGAAGAATTCAAGATGACTTTTCCCTTGAATTACTGACAAGTGAAGGTTCCTCATGTTGTGCTTTCAGCCCCAAGATGATAAAAGATTTCACAACCTTGCTCCAGAAATCTGGACTGAAGATGACTGTGTGGATTGGCTAGATTTTATTGGTTTGGGACATTTTGCAACAGAGTTCAGAGGTTTGTGTGATTGCTCTGTATTTGTTCTTCTAACTTTGTCAAAACATTTTCAGGTGATGGTGAAAACAGATTCATGATGATTGGATGGTGATTGATCAAAACTTAAATTTAGATTTGGAACTGTTCCTTGCTTTTGTCAATTGATACATCTTATTTTTTTTAGTTCTTATTGGACAATTTTTCATTTTTGTTGTGTCTAGGCAATCAGAAGATGTTTTCTGTAAAATACATGGTTATCAGTGTGATGGAAATATCTCAACTTTGGATACAATGAAATATATGAAGTTCATATATTTTGAACTGCGGTATTAGATACGTATGATGCACGATCAACTTTGGCACAAAACGAGGAAAAAAATTTAAAATCAATGTTTTTCCAACAAACAAAGTCTGTTAACAAATCTAACCAAACCTGAGAATCTGACCAAGAAAAGAAACAGGCTAAGAATGAACTCAAGGTGATTACATTCCCCTCCCCCAACACTTCAAAATTTAATGTGTAATCAATTCTCTGTTGTGAAATTAAACAATAGTGTTTCTATTCATATTTGCAGAACATCATGTGGATGGAAAAGTCTTGAAAAACATCAATTTCCAGCTACTTGGTTAGTATTTAAAAGAATGGTTCCTTTAAAGTGTAAACTCTTTGGTAGAGTATTGCTTGTAATTATCAGACAAGTGATACAAAAACAACTTTTCATTGTATATTCACTTATCATTTATTCCAGAGGAGATTGGCATTAATTCTCCTGATGAACGTGAAGTTATCCTGTCAGAGATTTACAGACGTTTTCATCCTGAAGAAGAGGACATGTTTGAAATGGAAATTCAAGGTATGATGGTGCAAGGTCATGCAACAAAAAATCATTTTGCTGCTTTAAAATACATTCATTTTCGGGAAAGGGGGCCTTTATTATCGTTAACAAGGTGCCGTTAGCCAGTGATACTCAATGCATTTATTTTTACTGCAATGGAATTGATTTGACTTTAACCCTTTGACCCAAAGAGTGACTAGCATCTAATTTCTCCTTACAATATCATCCTTGAATCACACATTAAGGTCATGAGAATAGAGGAAATGATCACCAACTGAAGATGCTCTTGATTGTTAAACAAATTCTCTTTGTCAGAACCTTAAGAAATTAATGTGTAGAGAACAGCATGGAAAATTTGCATACTGATGTTAGGTTTTAAAGAATTTATTTTTACTTGTGGTGTGAGAGTAAAGGGCCCAACAACACAATGGAACAACTTGACCTGGGCTCAAATTTGGTCCTGTTTTTCCCACTTCAGGCATTTGAATTGGACATTGGTTAAAGCAAGGGTTAGTGAATTATGAGCATCTTGTCTAATAATGAATATTTCTTCAGGTGCTCTCCAGTCTGCCTCTGAGAAAGAGAAGATGAAAATCATGGCTGTCCTCAATGCTTTACGATCTCCGGCATTTCAAGCAGAACTTGGACTGGACACTTCCACAGGTTCCTCTTCACCTCATGGAAGTGAAGCAGGTTTTTATATGGGAGCAGAAACTGCATCACTATCCAGCAGTGTCACAACAGGGAGTGAGGATCATTCTCAAGACATGAACCTGCCTCCCCCACCCCCCCCTCCGCCGTCATGGTCTCAGACAGCAAAGAAAACCAAAAGCTTGGGTAGAGAACTTGATGTAAGTAAGAGCTTATTTCTTGTTGGTGTATGTTGTTTTGTCAAAGAATTACTACCGTAATCTATTTGTTGAGATGTAAATGTAAAATTAAAGTCAATCAGAGTAAGTGGACAAGAAAATCAGTTTTCTGGGCCCAGAAAGTTACCAAGTCTTTTGAGAAATAGGCCCCCTGGCTCTGTTTGTTTAGGGAAAGTGTGGGTTAAAAAAATGTAGATAAATTATTACCATCAGGTTTTCACTGTAGTACTAAAAGTATATAGGGATATTGATTCATAATTTATTCTGTGGTGGATATTGTTAATCAAGCTGAAAACATACCAGCTTGCATTTCCACTTACTTAAGCTGTTTACTCAGACAGTGACACAATATATATATCTTATTAACCAAGCGCGAGGGCCCTACTGGGAGAATATCGGCCCGAGTTCATGACAGTACGGACCGAGCGCCGATATTCTTCCAGTACAGTCCCGAGCAAGCTTGGTTAATAAGAGATTTATTATACGACTGAAGTTCAAAGGGACACAAGTGTGGTATCATTTGGGACCATTCGGGACAGTGCCCGGTCCAATACTGAGAGAATATTGACCGGCAATAGAGCATTTTGATTGGTTGATTTTAGTTTTTGGCCCTCTGACTGCCCGAGTCGTGTAATAAATATTTTTATCGTCTATATATGACTTACAGTGTTATGATTTTGTTAAGCGTTTTTGATTTCATGATTGCCTTTGTGTTATTAATTGGGGGCTCTTGTTACACAGGACTACGAACCAAGAACCAAGGGTGGGAAACCAAAGAAGGCTGGAAAGACTCCTAAAGAGAAGGACAAGTCAGGAGAAAAAGCGTCAAAAAGTGAGAAGCACGGACGCAAGGACAAGAAACACAAAAGGTTTGAACTTATGGAAAAAAAGAGTATTAATCAGATAGTACATTTCAAGGTCTATGAATTGCTATGATTTCTTGTGCGCTTGATACAACATGTGTATACAAGAGTACTGTTTGAGTGCAGTATTTATACCATGACCTTCTACCTATAGTTGAAGTGATTTCTTACGGTTTTGTGGGAATTTTACCTAAACAAGGGGTGTTGGGGTAATTGTTTTAATTTGCTTCTGCGCTCCTCGTCGCCCAGTTATTTCTACAGGTACTAGAATTTTTACCTCAAGCTGGTAAATTCTGAAGGCAGCTTACGTTATCTGATCTGTCCATCGTATGACTGTGCTCTCGTCTCTGATAACTCGGAGAAACACAGGAAGGCCAAACGAAATCAGGAAAGTAACCGCACAATCGCACTCGAACTGATTTAAATCAAAGACAACTCGAACACACAAAACAGTTCATTTACATAGACAAGAAATATCCTTACAGCTCATTTAGCTCACACGAAGTATCGTTACACTCTTCTTTTCAGGCGGTAACCGCTGTAAAATAGAATTGCTCCAGCAGTTTGAACATTTTCTTGCGCCTGTTTTGCTTAGAGCAAGGAGAACACTAACTACAACTGCCATTGATCCACAGGGTGACAAGACTTTTGGACAGCTTATCACTAAGCACAAGTTCTTCCAAACTGACCAAGCTCTTCCACCATTCTTCTTCCTCCTCCTCCTCTTCAACAACAACAAAAAAACTCAACCCCACCATGCAGTACCTTCTACAGGCTGGTCCTCAGGGATTGATCCGAATATGGCCGACTGCTCTCTCTGAGGAGATGAATTATTGTAGTTTCATGGTGAACATGACAACCACAAGTGCTGAGATTATCAAACTTGTCTTTGAGAAATATGAGTTAGTGGACGATCCGCGGAGGTACTATGTTTGCGAATTGGGATTAGGAAAAGGAGGTAGGCCTCTGGAAACTTTTTTTTTTCAGTCTTTTTTCTTGTTTCTCAGTCTGCCGTCTTCCTTCCCTGTATGAAACCTGGATTGGAAAAAAATGATGATAAAAAAAAAAAATAATAAAAAAAAAAATATGAACACCTGTAACTGAGCAACTGCGCACCTACCCTCCCCCCCTCAACCCGACAACAGTCAGGTTAAGGGAGGGGTACATGCGCAGTTGCTTGGATACTGACATTTATCCCATTTTCGATAGCATTTAGACCTTGTTGCTAAGTGTTTGCACCACGCTATAAGAGTAGCAATTCTCCTTCATCCTTTCCAATCCTTTTTAGAGTAAGCATAGCATTGTCTGACAGGTAAATTTCTATCCTGTCTCGGTTTATTCTTGTTCCATTTGATTAGCGTTTTTATCGACACCACCCCTCTCCTCGACAGTACATTCATTTTGGCCATTAACACCAGTGTAAACTGCCCACTTCTCTTGCAGCTGCGCGTTATGATCTCAGTGATGCAGACTGCCCTCTGTTACGTCAGTGTCGCTGGGCTGATCCTGACAAACAGCGCTTTGAATTGAGGTGTAGAGATGAAGGAGTAATCAAGGTAAGATTGTTTTTACCTTGTCTCTTGCAATGTGGACTATTAATGGTCAAAGGCTGATAGTTTCTAAAGAAACTGTTTGGGGCTGCGTCGGTGGGGGTAACGAAATAATTTGAATATATCAACAAAGTTGAAATGGTAAATTGGCCACCGTTACGATTATAAAAGCTGACGTTTCGTTACCCTTCGCTCCGACGAAGGGCTAACGCTCGAAACGTCAGCTTTTATAATCGTAACGGTGGCCAATTTACCATTTCAACTTTGTTGATATATTCAAATTATTAATGGTCAAAGATGGCATTTTCAAATTCCAGACCCAACCGAAGAGCTATAAGGTAATTTTGGACACTGGTCTGTCCACTCAGAGGTGTAGATTGCGATATACTTTATTCATTTCATTTGTTTTTTTTTTTTTCAGATGTTGTTTGAACTTGAAGGATATGAGGACGATTTAGACTACCGATCCATTCCCTTATCTTCCAAGACTCCATGTTCAGAAGCAGTGGGACTGATTGTCAAGAAGTTTCATTTGCCTGGGAAGGGAAGCGAATACTATTTGGTGGAAGTATCCGAAGAAAACGAAGGTAAAACTATGTTCATCTTAAAAAAAAACAAAAAAAAAAAACACACATTTTACCCTAAGGAATAAGCCTTCTGTTTGAACGGAGTAGCAAAACTTGTTGCAACCAAATTTAACAGAAATGTGATGCAAGATTTAGTAAAATTAATGGTTTCAGTTGACAAAGTAAGTGATAAGAAGCAGCAAGGAAAGAAGCAGCAAGGAAAGTGACTTCTTTTAATTTTTTTGACGTCATTTTATCCAGATGATAGAGAGGAAGTAGCTGACCACGTGTGCCCCTTGCGACTGCAAATGGCATGGAGTGCCCCTGATCACGTGTTCAGGCTTTGTAGGCGACCAACAGATAGTTCAACTGATGTCAATGACGATAATAAAGATGCAGTGGATGGCTGGTAGGGTGCATCGTTCAAGTTCCATCCTTCCAAGTTCTAAATATCAATTTTCTGCGCTTTATTTCACACATTTCCTGCAGTTGTAGCCAGAGAATGTATTGTTAAATCGAACAGATGTGTCCGTGCACTTGACATGTTCTTCCTTCTTATCATGTTTTTCCTTCGAATGTATTGATACTGTAAAAAGAAAATCCTTTCGGTCACACGTGCGAGTGAAAGGGTCAAACGTCTTTACCTTTTACCCTAAAATTAGTATGCGTATTCTCCATACTGTTCTCATTACATTTCCTTTGTTACGGACAAGGAGAATTTGTTTGACAATCAGGAGCTTCTTGGTTTGGTGATCATTTCCTTTATTCTCATGACCTTTATATTTGATTCAAGGGTGATACAGTAAGGAGAAATTAGACGCTAATCAGTCAGAGGGTTGAAGAGTAAGATGATTTATGTATTGCTGTTGAATGTAGGATGACAGATGCAACTGAAGATGTTTCTCAAGAACCAGGCATTAACTCAGAAGTGTCTTGGGTTCGCGATTAAGACGAGCTGAAGCTAGCACCTGTCCCAGTCAATGTAGAAGGGAACGAAACCAAGGAGGAAATTGGTGAGGATGTTGGTGAGGATGTAATGGAGGGTTTAAACAAGCTGGATCAAGTCATCGACGAGGAGTCCGAGGTGATCGCTTCTCAAGAGTTGGAGGCTGTCCGTCATGAGCTTGCCGCCAAAGAAGAGGAGTTACAAGAACTACGTTTACGAACTGACACGCTGAATGAGAGAGAGGACGAACTGATCAGCTTGCGGCGAGAGAATGAGGAACTCAAAATGCGAAGCGGAGAACACGGTGAGCTGTTAAATAAAGACGAGTCTTTGGTCGAAAAAGATCGCGCGTTGGAGGAGCTTCGACAAGAGAACGAGGAAATGCGAAGAAGAATCAGTGAGCTGGAGGAAAAGCTCAAGAATGAAATAGCTATGCGAGATCGCGAAATCGAAAGGCTTTACGCTCGAAACAACGAACTTTCGTCCAACGATAAAGAGCTGGAGAATTTGAGACAGTTACGCGATACGTTTGTTTCTCAAGAAAAGGAACTCGAGAAGTTGAGACTTATGAATCAAGATTCCAGCTCTGGTCAACATGAGCTTGCTGCTAAACTTACCGAGCTGCAACAGAAGCACGACGAATTGTTAATGGAGGTAAGTGAAATGGAGAAATTGAAGCGAGTAAATCAAGAGCTCACTCGCAAAGTTGACGAAGGTGATATATTTCGAAAAGAGTTGGAGAAAACCCAAGCAGAGAAGAAAGATTTGGTTGAGAAGTTGAAGGAGGTAGAGCGCGAGAGGAGAGAATCTAAAAAAAGTGAAAACAACGATGCGGAAAACTTGAGACAGAGAAACCTTGAGGTAGCGGCCAAGAGCAAAGATGCAGAGGAGATGAGGACAAATATTATCAAGTTGACTGCCCAGATGCGTGAAATGGAAAAACAGAGCCAAGAGAAGGCGAACAAGCTGCAGAAAGAGCTGCAAGACGCCGCTTCCGAGAAAAAACAGCTTCTGGACAGGATAGCCGAGTTGGAAGAAAGTCAGGCTCAGGATAAAGATGTGGAAAACAGCTCAAAGGAGGTTGAGGATTTAAAACTCGAGAACATCTTCTTGGTGGAAAGGGCGAAAGAAATAGATGAACTGAAGTCTGCTGTGGCCAAACTAGCGGCAGAAGCCAAGGAAAACTTGTCCTTTAAGGAGAAGTACAAAGAGCTTTGTGATGTGGAGACTGTAAGTGTTAATAGAACATCTTAATTAGTACACGCGTTCTCATTGGTCGAAAAGTGTGTTTAGGTGCGAGTAGGTAAACACTTGATATGATGTCACTTATCTTAACTCGTCGAATTACTTCTGGGAAATATTTTGTAGCAACAGTGTAGAATTTTTTTTGCGCTTCTCTTTTGCGATTTTTTAACCAAGCCTTTTTTAACCACTCTAAGAGTTCAGAGAAAGGTTTGCATAACTTTCGAAAATTCTCCAACCCCTTATGTTTAGATGAGGCTGTGTAAACACAGAAAAAGTTCTCTATTACCTAAACAGTGGGCTTTTCGTTTGGCGTTATCAAACAAAAGCCAAAGTAATCACAACAGATCATTAGAGGAGAGGAAAATATCCAAATGTAGCCAATGAGAACTCAAAGTAAACACATGCTTACCTCTCTTAAGCGCAGAAAGCGCAAGTTATTAAGAGTCGATTCCTTTCAGTATGAATCTGATTGGTTTAGAAGGTAAAGGGGGGTAAGTTTCTAAAGAAACTGTGGTGCTGCGTCGGTGGGAGTAGCAAGGTAATTTGGTTTTATCAACTGAGTTCAGGGCTGTGGTCTAGCAGCGCCCGGTGGCCCTTGGCGCCTTACTTTTGGCTCTTGGGCGGCTTAGGAATTTTAGTTTTTTCATAGAAAAGCATAATGTCAACAGACCCCTGGGTACCTCAAGGATTCAAATGGATAGGTGTCTATCAACTATGATCAAATGATTGAATAAGCTCTTTTTGCATTCTGTAACATGTTTTTCATTTTTTTAATTAATATCAGGGCTGTGGTATAGCAGCGCCCAGTTGCCCCTGGCGCCTTATTTTTGCTCTTAGGCGACTCAGAATCTTAGTTTTTTCATAAAAAGCATATGCTGGGCACCCTGGATTTCACAGTTTCAGAGCACTGGGCTCTCTTCAATTTCTCTTAGAACACAGCCTTAGAGTTGATGATGTAAACTGGCCACCGTAAAGAGTTTCAAAGCTGACGTTTTGAGCGTTAGCCCTTTGTTCAGGATGGATGAGCGGAAAATTGATGGAAAGAGGACGTAATTTATCATATATATCCTCGCTTTGATGTAGGGCTAACGCTCGAAACGTCAGCTTTGAAACTCTTTAAAGTGGACAATTAACATTATCAACTCACTTGATAAAATTAAATTACCTGGTTTAGAAGGTGGTGCACGTTTTCTGGACCAGTCGCTTCGCGGAGTGAATGGAAACTAAAGCAATGTCCGATTACTTTCGGCAGCGACACTTTTTTAGAATTGCTCTATCTGATGCAAAGTAGGAAGCTGTTTGACTCGCAGGTTTTACCACTCTGTTAACTCTTTCCGTAATTTCAACAAACTTTTCAGCAGACAGGTATTGAGATTTAACCCTGCACACACCTTAATATCAGTACACATCACCTCCGTACTCTTCTCTATGCATTCCCTTTGGTACTGACAAGGAGAATGCATTCAACCATGAAAAACTCTGGGGGGGGGGGTGATCATTTTCTTTATTCTCGTGACCTAAGTGTTTAACTCAGGGTAATAGTGTGAGAGGAAATTAAAAGCAAAGTCACTCTCAGGGTCTAAGGGTTAAGCAAATCACCCCGCTTGGTTTAATCTAGCGAGGTGAAAAAATTCCTAAAAGACGATGACTAGTCTCGCACTTTTTATCGATCTTTTGTTGGTTGTTACCGTATTTGACCTGCGCATGGTTCTGTTTTCTATTCCTTGGGTTGTTCTTATGAGAAGAGATACGTGATTTTGTTAGCTCTCCGCCTTACAATAGTGTACATAAATTTGTTTTAACTTGATTTAACCGATGTCTCCCGTTTTCTTTTCTTTCTTACACAGTATTTAACCAAACAGGTTAGCACCGCAGAAACAATTGCCCGACAAAAAGACAAGAAACTGAAAGAATCAGAAAACAAGATAAATACTTTGGTAAGTTAACGCGTGAGGTTGGTTGTTATTGAAAACGCCGCTCTCAAGTGTATCCAGCGCATTGTGAACGAAACTGCAATTCGTGTTCTTCCCAATTAATGAGTAGTTTTGTTTTTGAAATAATAGCTTAGGTTACGCGAATATGGGTCGTGCTGGACATCTGCCGCAGCCACAGCTTTGTCAATGAAACTTTGTTTTATTGTCTTTGTGCAGACCGAAGCTGTTAAAGACATGGAGGCCAAGCTGGAGGAGCAGGAGCAAAATAAGTTATACCTGGACCAGCTACTGGCCATGCTGAAGGACAGGGACCCGACCCTCTTACACGTCATCAACACTTCGCTTGCGTCAAGGTATAGCAAAGGAAACGAATCTCTAACAAACTTATTCTCGATGCACTTTTCGATTAAGTGTCGTCAAACCAAAACCAGTGCAATAGCAACGGCCAATCAGAGTGAAGGAAAACATCTCAAGCAGCCAGTAAGAACTCAGTTTGAAAATACACAGGTTGAAGCGCGGGAAAACGCGCGTGATCAATTAGCCATTGGTGTAATTCTTGTATCTGATTGGCTAAGGATGTGGCGCGAGATTTTTTGCGATTTCTTCAGAAAGCTCGTGCCACGCTCTCGACCAATCAAATGCAAAACTGAAACCATCAACGACTTGGTACTCGGGTTTTCCCGCTCTTTGGGAAGTTTTTTTTGTATTAATATTAAGCTCTCATCGACTCCTTAAAAAATTTCGTTCGCTCCGAATGGCCATTGTGGTATCTTTGATTTTGGTGTTTTGACACTCAATCGAAATGCGCTTGATTATTGTCCCACAAAACTAATTCATGGGAATTGATCTCTTGTGTTTGATAACATTTTCTCAGCCTCAAATGCAATCTGTGACTCTTGATAGTTCGATTAACCTTTCAATCGCTAAGTGACTAGCATCCAATTTCTCCTTGTAATATCATGCCTAAATCAGACACGAAGGTTATGAGAGTACAGGAAATGATCACCAACTATAGAAGCTCTTGATTGTGAAACAAATTCTCCTTGTCAGCATCTTAGGAAATGTCTAGAGAACTGTATGGAGAATATGCATACTGATAGATAGATAGATACTTTATTAACGTGTCAAAGAACCTTCTAGTTTGGAAGATATCCCATACTACTGTGGGGACACAAATAAAATGGATAAGGATTATTTACAAAGAATATTACCTACTTAAGAATAAAATTAAGTCATATCATGTATGAAAAAATATGAAATGAATTAAGAAGTACATAGAGCACAGCCCCAGCAGCCATCATCTAATAGGGAGCTGAGGTCACGCTTACGTATGCGGTTTTTGAAACTAGCTAATGTTGTGGATGATCTGTCATAAGTTGTCAGTTTATTCCATAATTTAGGTCCTAAATAGCGTAGTGAATGTTAGGGTGTAAAAGGTACAAGTACATTTTGAAATGTTTGTGTTGTTTTTATTCTTGTAGCGAGCAAGAGGAATGGTGCTGAATGATGAAGTTGTTTCTACAGTTTTTTAGACTGCCTTTTATTGCACGGACCGAGGCGTTTTTGAAGTTAACCGTCGAAATGCTGTACACAGATCCGGCGCTGTTAGATAGTTTCAAAACATCAGGTTAGATCAGATAGTGACGTAGGTTACTTACCTTTCAGGTAGCTTATGTTATGATTCAGATTGGTTTAAAGTATCAATAATAGTAAATCCACCCGTTTTCATACATTTTTCGATATTAATGAGTAGGTCATTTTATTGTTAGGAAGTCAAGAGAACATCTTCTGTCTCAAAAGCTTCCATCAATGAACCGAGCCCGTGGTTTTTATCAGTGAAGTTGCTAAACAACCCATCTCTCTGCACGACGCTGTGATTGCTCGTGTCGCTTGAAAAATACTTGGTCCAAACTCTTCGAGTTTTTTTTAACGAAAACACCATTTAATTCTTTGATCTAGATTAACTTCCTATTTGCTTGGTATTTTAACAGTGTACGCGACATCGGCTGAACCAATATGCAACGGGTGAACCATAAAGTAAATATATTACAAAGAGAAAACATTTTTAAAAATATATATTTAACGAAAACGTCAGTGCCTTTCACGATGAAAGGTTATCCTCTTTCATCTCGGATTTCCAAAGGGAGGGAAGGGTAACCTTTGAAAACATTTATAGACAACAAATACTCTGAATGGAGAATGCAGTAGCTAGAAAAAAAAAAAAAAAACTTAAAAAAAGATGCTCCTATCAGGAAGAGGTATGGCCGACCAAAAATGCTCAGCAGTGAAATTTTCGATATTGCGCGACACAGCTACATAAAAAGGCAGTAAACTGGCTGATCATCGAAATGCTAAACAGCGCGAAAACGGTTGCAGTTTGGTTGTTACGTCTCATTGGTTACACCGTTTGCTTGGAACCTGTGAGAGGTACAGCCCAATGAGAAAATTGAGGCGAAAAAGGCAAAAAGATCTGAATTCCTTGTGAGAGCTGCTGCGTATTTTTCGTTTTCTAACACTGGTCCGTTTAGAGGCATTTTGAAAAGTTTAGTAAATGCGCATTGAAATTAAGTTTGTAATTTTATAGGTGAATATACAACAAATTTTAGTCGTTCTTTTGAAAAGATTTTTTAGAATGTTATATAAAGATATGGAAACACCTTTCTATTGAGTCACAGAAGCTTTTTAAAGAATATATATTTTAATGCGATATAGGTCTCGTGTAGATATCATATCAAGTAACCGTACGGCAATTAAACGAAGAACATTTCCTATATAACACGTGCAAAATGTGATTTTGAATCATTTTGTGTCGTTTTTTTCATTGCTTGTCGATACCACACGAGGAGAGAAAATTTCATCGACCTTCTTAGTTTGCACTACGTGACATTTTAGGTGTGGTTCAACCGCACCTAATATGTCACGGCAGACTTCGACACAGGATGAACCTTGTCCCGGGTCAATGTGCCCCCATCCCCCTCCCCCCATCTTCCTCCCCCTCCTTTCTTGCCACCAGCAGGGCTGTTATTAGAAAGCTGGTTTACTCACTCGGAAAAAATCTCTTCTAAACATGTTACAAAAACCATCAGCACCATACAATCGACTTATTCACGACACGAACCAAACCAAACGACCGAGCTTTACCGACAGATTGAAACTGACCAATCGTATCTAGTCTAACGGCTCATAACATCGCGGCAAAACTAACCTAATCGTTTTCACGAAAAAGACTTAAAACATTTTACCGACAAATACTTTGTTCTGTAGACAACTCATTAGGGAGTTTAAGCAAATCGCTACGGCTGGCGCTGCTACGGCTACTGGAAGTAACATTGTCCAGAAACGAGTCATTGCGCATGTCAGTGGTTCCCAGCCAGCCGTAGCGGGAAATCCTTCTACGCGAGTGGGAAGGTTTCGGCGTAGTCTGTGGTACGTGAACTTATCTCGCTTCTTTCTTCGCTTTATACATTCTCCTGAGCAATTTTAACTATTGAAATACACTTAACATCTTTAAAAATAGCTTATCGGGAATATTTATCAAGCTTGCTGTCCCTTACCGAGTGAATCTGCCTTTATTTTTGCCGCCGGGTTTGTCGAAGGATCGAAGCAGTGTGCACATGGAGAACGCAGCGAACGCAAGGAGAAATGCGTAGGTAGAAAGTCTAACTTTTCCTTTTCAAACCTCAAAGACTACTTGAAATTCAAATAGCTGAAGCCGAGGAATGACGAGGGTTATGAGGGACCGTGTAGAAACTTTGCTTTGGTGTTTATAAGCTCCAAACTGGCAATTTTACAACACGTAAGCTTAAATATTTTAATTCACTCATTCACTGTGCACAGGATCGCTTACAATTTTTTTTTCCAAACGTTGGAATCCCTCGTCCCTTTCGGTCCTACTTTATCAGCA